CGTCTCTTTACAAATGTGACATACACTTACTGTCAGTTCGATACTATTACTTTTTGCTTGTGTTAAATACAAGCTGCTTTAATGTTCTCACTGGAGAAACGGGGTCCGCAGTGGCCGCTCTGTCGCTGGGACCGTGGGTTCGAATCCCATTCAAGCCATTGATGTTTGTCCGCGTTTTTCTGTGTTGTGCTGTCCTGTGTACAGGTAGAGGACTTGCGATGGGCCGATCCCTCGTCCAAGGAGTCCTACCGAATGTCTATAGATCAGAGCCAATGAAAAGTTGGGACCCGCAGTGCTCAGGCACTTGAAGAACGGGTCGTTCCCAGTATCCCCCACTGGAGAAACAGACTGGTCCATGCAGTATGTTAATTGTTTTTTATAAATAACCATACCATTCACGATTTTTAAGGAATTGTAGTTTATATATAAATAATGATGGAATAATTTTAGATTCTTACTGACAGAGTAAACAACGATTATTCACCTAAACAGCGTTAACCACTTGATCTTTATAGTAGAGACTTGTGTTTTCTTTGCTGTAGACACTGGACTATTGAATATTATTTAGACTAGCTTATAATTCAGAAGGTACGACCGTGTATAAACTAAATATTACTCACGTTCGCTGAAACATGTAAAACAAATATAAATTTAATGGACCACAAATTTTTTTAATGAGAATAATTATTAAAAAGTAACGTCAGAAATGAAACATCCGGTGAAGTTATTGTGCAGTTGTCTATAATTTAATATATCATTTGTCTAAACAAGTAGTCACGTAATGTAAATAACAGTAAAATGTAGTGTAGATTTAAAACAACATTAACGTCGAGTAATAATGATAATACAACTCGGGAATGCCGCAGAATCTGTCTTCTGAGGTCTTGTTGCTGTAAGTTATAACATTACCAACTTACGTAACAAAAGTGCAGAACTCCGTGTTCGTCTTAGGGCAGGAAGCAGGCAGGCGGTTAAAACCTTAAGAGCTTAATGTGTTGTGCTAGTGGAGTACGGATTAGGTATCCACTTACGGATCTTGAAATCATCAAAGTTCAGCTTTGTTTGTGAAACTGTTAATTAAGCCCAGATTTTACTGAAGTTAATAGCAAATGTGACGCATCATGCCAGAAGACATTCATATTCATGTACGGAAAGCTTTGTCCGGATGTGAGGCTGTCCGTCGTTCTAAACACAGGGCAAATTTAAATTTCCGATTGTTTATTTAAAACTGATGCCCCTTACTGTGCTTTACCGAACTTAACCAGTGTATATGTACGTATCTCGCACCAAACCTTGCCTGATTCTTTCTTACAAGCTGCCTTACGCATAGCTGTGCGGTAGTTCATAACGCAATATGGGATTTTAGTGCATGATTTGAGATTTAATTTCCCTCTTTGTAGCTGATTCAGCTGAATATATTTCATATATTGTCAGAAATGTCGCTAAAACTTAAGTTGCTACCTCCTTGTTAATGTAAGCTATAAATTCGGCCTTACCCGCAGACTCATAATAATTAGAGAATAATAAATAAATAATAAATGCTCAGTATAGGAAATAAAGTAACTTGAGAAAGTAAATTTCAAAACTCCGTTTTCAACAACACAGGCGTAATTTAGTATGAGACTTTGAAAGTTGTCTTAATGTCGTTCTTCAGGTATGAGCTATATCTCTGACCCGTCACTTGGCTGGTCTCGGAGTAAAGTTCAATTTTAGTGTAGTTCGATTAGAGGGATATAAGAGCACTCTGTGCTTCAGGTGTTGGGAAATCTTGACTAACTCCAGTAGTTAGGAGTGTCTTCTTTCTTACGTGCCTGGCACCGTGATACTTACTCAAGGAGAGTCTGTTCCCTAGGGGCAAATGCATCATTCACTTTATCATCGAACTATTAGTTGATCTGCGACAGAAGGTGTTCACTAGAACCCCCAAAGGAGACAGATGCATCATCGAATCTGTACAGTTCCAGTGCTTCGAAATCTGCTGTTCCAACAGTCTCTCGCTGAACTTTCGGAGCTATTTCAAAGTGTGTTTTGAAAGCTTTCCGAATTCAAGAAAACAGAACATCGTTAATATTGCAAATGTTTACTCTGAAGTAACTTCTGTGCGTTCAGTTCTGTCAGAACTTTCTTTACCGTTTTATAACTACGATACTTGATCGGTTTGACTTTCTGTTCAGTCCTTGACTGTACAGTGTTTATGGCACGACATTAAAGAAGTAGGGTAAGAGGAAAAATGGGGAGACGAACAAAGAGAAGGAACAGAACTATAAGCAGTTGGGGGAATGTGTGGGATTTAAAGCAAGTTAGGAAATATACGTATAGCTTTTGCCAGAATTTAACATTTGAAAATGACGTATGGTAGTCAGAGATGGGGGTGAGTGGCATTAAATTGTGTATGGATGGGCAACAACTTCATCACGGAGGATTCCTTTAAGTGATTTCGAGGCTGGTTGGGTTCTCCAGGTAATCGAGATAAAAATGCTAATCACAGTAGCCTTGGAAATATCTACGAGGAAATTTTCCCTCCGGTCACTTAGGCGTGCAGAAACGCATTTACATTTTTGTGTAATTTGCCCGTTATGACTGTCCGACGTAAAAAAAAACATTTCGACACATTTTATTAAAAATACTAATATATTTCATGAAATTACGTTTAATCATTCTCGAGTTTTCACATGTGGTCAGAGAGATGGGCAGTCGGGAACATGCAAAAGTGTGAAAAGATAAACACAAGGAAACAAAATTATTTTTATTTTTATGTCTTCTGCATATTTGTGTTGCTGAAAAATGCTTTATTCAGCAAAACCAAGTTTCAAAGATTCATATTCTGTTATACTGATTTTCTGAAAGCACAAATTTTCACTTTTATTAAAGTATTTCGGGAATGCTGTAGGCTGAATCTGGAGGGTGTCTGTTCTGACTGAAGTCTTTTATGGCTTTTTCAGTCTCCCAAGGCAAATATCCGAATAATGCTTAGAAACAAAGATTTCCACTTTCCACATTTTGCCTGGGCATCATTCATTCTTCTCATCCAATCAAAAACTAACAACTTCTGCACTTGAAACAGCTCCAGTAAATAATTTGAGAATCAGTTAAAATAACTTAGCAATGCAATGGTTGAAATATGTATTCTCATAAATTAAGGCGTTTGTATAAATGAATTCATTCACGTCCTTGACGCGCTGACAGTTTAGAACTAAATTCAAACATTCATATTTTCGCCGGTCCCAGGTATCACTTGAGTATTCGAATAGCACTGCCGAGCGTTGAGGATGGACTCGAAGTAATTAGAGACAAATGAAGGTGTAATTAGGACCAGCATGTGGCAGCTTGTTATGACAAGTCGCGTGGGTTTGTGACGGAGAGAGAGAGAGAAGGGTTGGACGTAATGCGTCATATGAACACGCCCTTTTCCTACGGTAAAGTGAAACTTGGTTATGGTTTTGGCGTTGAAGTGAGGAGGTTGAGGTTTTGGGATGAGGTTCTGTAGGGGTGAAGTTGAGCGCTTGAGGGGAGGGGCCGCTCTACAATAATAATTCTACCCGTTAGTCATGGCATTGCTACATACACTGCAGTCAGTTGAAAAAAAAACATTTCGACACATTTTATTAAAAATACTAATATATTTCA